CTTCAATTTCCCCGAAGCGGGTATGAAATGCTGAAAAGGAGGGCCCGAAACTGCTTCCATCTGAAATTCCAGGTGTCTGTCCGTATCTCGGAGCATTCGGTATGAAAGCGGGCTCTCGGCAGGCGGCACGACGTCGAGTGACTACGCGGAGAAACAAAAGATTTAGCACCTTTATCTTTTACGAGAGCTGGCGCGTTCGAGCAGCGTCAGCGGCAGCTTTTAGTCGGAGCTGCTCCGCTGGGATTTCGAGGCGGCGGCACCTTTGCCATGCATCCCATAAACGGAGCTCGCCACGCTGCTAAGCAAATAGTCGCGCTGCAATTCTTTGTCCGGCGATCGCGATAAAGCCGAGAGTACCGAGCCGGCGCAGGCTAAATGGAAATTCCGCCGGAGCTTACTTTACGCCAGCTTTTCGCGTAATACACAGAAATTACGAAAATTCAATTTTCGATTCCCAATGCCGTCGGCCGCGCGAGTGCAGACCCGCAGCACGCGATTGTGTTACGCACAAAAGCGGTGCTTATCTTGCTCCAGGATCTGGCTGTGCGAGCGCCCCGACAGAGCACGCCCGTAATTGAATTTTTAACGGGTGCAGTTCGCCCTGCAAACGCATCGACATTCAGAAGTGCGTTAATGCATTTACTGACATTTTCGGCTCTCCTCCTGTCCGACTGCATCCGCGCGTCACAATGCATTTGGCCAAGCGATGTTCATAATTTTTGAAAAGTCGCGCTCGCCGATAATTCTAACGAAATTGCCGTCGCGCGGCGCGCCCTTTGCTCGCGAACGAGACGAGCGAGACTGGCGTTTGAGCCCGGACGGGCGCATCAGCGACGCGCAATTTCAAAATTGATCTTCGACTCGCGACGGCGAATGATCGCGTGAGAAACGCGCTCGTGTTTTTTCCGTCGTTTGGCCGCAATCAGCGATGCACGTCAGCGCCGTCAACGGGCTCCCACGGATCGTTTGTATTTATTCGAGCGCCGGTATTTCATTCGTCGGAAGATCGCTCGTAAAGCAAAACAATAAAAGGGAGAAAAATTCACGAGCGGCTGGACTCGCTCACTGTCTCTGCCGCGTACGCCCGAGTAATTATGGCCAAAACAGCGCTGCAGCGGCCGATGGCAGCTATTATTTTGGAGCGCTCGTTCAGAGCTCGCGCGCGCGCTGTAATCCTTGAGCTCGGCCGAGCTTTATTTCGAGTGTCGGTATTGTGTGTATCGCTATCGACAGATTAGATGAAAGGCTCGGCCGTCGGGGCGCACAATGGCGCGGCTCGTCTTTTTGTTCGCTCGCGCATTGGGCGGTTTTTCCTTTTTTTTCTGCCTCGCTGGCGGAAGCTTATCTCTCTCCGCGGTGGCGTTGCGGCGGCAGCCATAAATCAGACGAGACGCGAAACGCCTAATGCTCGCGCTAAGAGCAGCCGCGCGAGAGAAGTACATTTCCCAGCGTATCAAGGATCAATCAGCCTCGCGCGTTCGCGATCGCTCGGGACGAGCGGAGCTAGCATCGCTTGATTTATTACGAGCCCGCTTGGCGTTAATTTCCGTTAAAACTATCGCGAGATAATGCGCTTTGCGTCGAGGACGACGTCGACGAGTCTCGTTCTATTAATTAGCGGCGAAATGCGCGCGGCGCTCGCTCGTCGACGCGAAAGGCGCTCGTCTGGGTAATTAGCTTAGGCGCCGTACGAGTAAACCAGCCACGGGGATTAGTGCGTGCATTCATCCTGCAGCGGAGCAGCAGCTTCGCTTTGAGTATTTCAGTTGGCAGCCGATCGAGCCAAGGCCAGATCGCTCGTCGGATTCGCGCGTCTGTCGCCGGCGACCTTTGAATGTTCGCGCCACCATGTTGAATCTTTCACGTTTGATTCATGGACCGCATAGGCTATTCGTTACCAAGTTGGCTCTGTTTATCAAAGTCGCGCTATCAGACAAATTTCCCATTGCATCTTGCTTTATTCAGTCTCGAGATTTGTCTGCTCCCGTTTTCTTCAAAGGACTGCAGATCTTTGATAACAATACCTAGAACTAATGCAAGACAAGCAATTCCTAGATGGTCTTTCAGAAAATGAGCTCGCTTCTCTCGTCCTTCTTCGTAGTAATTAAAAATATTTTATCAATAATTTGTTATTCCCTTCTCCTCGAGAGAAAGTGCGCACTACGAGCTTCGTCACCTCTGAACTGTAGTCGTACCTTTGGCATCTGGCTGCTGAACTAAAAATAAGAAAAGAAAATGTGCGCGGACTTGCTTCTTGTGCAGCGACTCGGCACGGCGACGGCCCTCGAGGGATATCAGTTGCGCCTCGGCTCCTCCTAGTTTTTCTTGCCTAATTGCCCTTCCTACTTTCTCGCCCTTTCATTATGCTCCGTATACACAGAGACGCGAGCATTCATAAGTGCCTCTTCGTTCTCCCTTGCGCGCGCACTGAGACATTCTAATACGCACTCCTCGTCGTTCATCACTTCTAAGCTAATATTGTTCGAATTCGTGCTCACTTCTACATTTTAAATCGTGCTCCTTCTCACGTGCTGACACTTCCTACCAATTACCGTTGCCGGCATTTCAAAATATTTCTTCGAGTATAATTCCGTCAAAGCGGAGAAAATGAATAATTTGCAAGCGCGTTGCCGTCTTTTTGATATTCCAAATTCTCCACTTGGGCATTTTCCATTAGAGCCAGGGAAACGTTTTTGCACCCGTAGATTTGAAAATAAACGAAACTCAAAGCATCAACGAGTTGGGCAATCTGCTGACCATGATAAATGTTTAAGCGCCTGCTGGTAGTTTTGGTTTTGTCGGCGATCGTAGCACCTCTTTTCATCGCTCAGCTTTTGTCTGAATCTATTGTCAGGCAAGCTTTATGTAGCGTAATTCTTACTACGTCTGCGGCTTTCTCTTTTCGCTCACGGCTGCTATTCAGCGCGGTTAATGTGTGCTGCGCGCAAGTCTGCGCGCCGAGAGAGAGAGCAACACGATCGGGCAAATACTTGGTTTAAAGCGGCGTGGCCCGCTTCTGCTTGGCGATCGCGTTAATGCGAATTTCGAGAGCAAATGCCGGAGAACAAATTGAATCGTTTCCTCGCAATGTGTTGTTATTTTGCTCACTTGCGCGCGAGAAGACTCGGCCGCTATCGCAGGAGCGGGATTAAATATTCTCCAGTTGTACAAATAAAAGTCCAACCTGGCGCCTAAGTTCCCGGTTGAAGTTGCATATTCTCTTCGACGACTTCTACGGGTCGCTCCGCGCTGGAGGCAGAAACGCGTCGTGTGTTTTCCCGCTTCTTAATACATTTTAAGTTGGGGCGCAGTGCAGCTAGAAAAATCTTTCGCTCGCAGCCTCCTGCGCGCGAGCACAACTTTTCACTAGGCTTTTCACTTTAAAGCGCAAAGTCTAAAGGTATGTACCGCCGGCCTATAGAGCTCCGGCTATTCAGCTTTACCTTGAAAACGCCAGGCGATCGCCGAACTTTTGTAAATCTTTATGTAAAAGTCGCGGGGTGGCGCAGACGTGCAGACTGCAGATTGCCCTTCCTACGTTCTTTCGGCAGCACGGCAAGACGATGTCTATAAATAGTGGCTAGTTTTGTCGGCTATTGTTATTCGAGCCCGCGGGCAGATGAAAAATTCATCGGCTGGTGCACTGCGCTGGCGCTTTCGGAGATGTGCATTAAAAGTCCCAGACAAACGACGGGTAATAAATCAGTCGCTGCTCGCGAGCCGCTGCGCGTAGCGGGCTCGCAGACGTAAGAACGTAAGCGCATTAGCCGGATGGGCTCGGAGCTCGTAGATAGAGTCGATAGACGCATCTCCGACAAAAATTGAAAACGGGCCGCCTTTTTTTCCTATTTTTCTGAAAGCAAGCCGTGTTGGCTGCCGAAGTGCCGTGATATCCTGCTGCAAATGCGCATCCCGTACATGGAGCGCGATTCATCATGCGTACGCCGCGCTCGTGTACGCTCGCCGGAGGGGAGGCATAGTTTAGTCCCCCACCGCCGAACGGGGGCGCAGACTGGGAAAAGCTGGCTTGCGTAAACGGTTCTTTGAGAACCGCAGGAACGAAGACGACGCGTGTCTAGGGCGAGTAAACGCTGTAAAAACTTTTTGCACTTAGCGAGCTCTGAGCTTTGGCATTCGAGCGGGGCGCTCGCTCGCTCGCTCGCTTGTCCTTGAGCGGAAGCGAGAAGCTCTCTAATTTTTTCCACGCCTGCGGCTTACGAAAAAATTCCACTCAGACCGCATCTCGCCGGCGGATAAGTGGGCAGCGACTAACAATGCGTTGCTGTGCTCCTGCCGCGTCCTCCTCGTCCCAGTGCATGCATTTTCAATGGGCTCATGTCGCGCGCAAGCCCCACCTAGAGAGAAGCGGCTCTCGCTGAGACAAAGCCCACTCGTCTCAACCCGGATCTGCGGGTGTTTTTTCTTTTTTCTTTCCTTGTCACGGAGCATTTTCTCGTATGGTCTCTGTCTCTCTATCTGTCGACCTCGTTCGAAATTAATTTTATGTTGTGTTTCGCATGGTAGCTGTTTTGTCGACGAAAGCTCCTGAAATATTCGACGCTTGCGAAAGACTTTCGTCAATTACCCGTTTGATAATACGTGACCTGATTTCGAACGATAATGGAATGCGCCTTTTGCACTTTTCACATTGTAATATTTCACTCGTGGAGCGAAACACTTTCAAAAAAAACGGAAATGCATTCATTTTTCTTTATTCGAAAGTTTGTTTGCATTTTACAATTGTAGATATCCGAACCAAAATAAATATTTTTGTTTATCTATCAAAATAAATCACGGGAAATAGATGGATGGAGAGAGAGGGAGGAATATAGGAACTTGAGGGACTAAGATATATTTTCGATATTTATTTAATCATTGTAGATAACATTCTGCATCGCTAAAAAGTTAAAATAATATTTCCGCGCAATGGGAAGCGATTCGCAGGCTATTTCTATGAATGGAAAGACTGCTCGGTGAGTAAAAGACCTTTTCTGTTGCAGGTGCCATCGTCCAAGAGACAGCCTGTTCTCATGGAGCTCGGGCTTCGACAACTTCACGGGATTCGTCAACTGGGGTTTCCTGCTCCTCGGCATTGGCGGCATTCGTCTTTTATTGGAGAACTTTATAAAGTAAGTTTCCACTTCTCTCTCACGGCGCTACACGATTAACCCCGGCAAATCGCCTCGTTACGAAACCATTCGCACGCTGATTCCGCGCCGGCTAAATTAGCCATGAATGAGAAAATGTTCGATTGTCTCGGGGAGATCTGGACGGAAGCCAACCGCGGGTACAGTCTTCTAACGAGGCTACCGTCATTTTTCAAGCGCGAGAAGCAAGCGACGGACAAGCTTTTTTGATGGATGCACGGCTGGTGTGGGCTAACTCAGCGGAATTCGCGCGGCGGCCAGGCGATAGCTTCGATTCCGGTGCGCGGGGGCTTTATGCGCCGCGATGCGTGTAATCGATTCGCCTATAGAAATTAGTTTGAAAATACAGAGATTACACGATAGCAGGCCGGCAACACAAACAGCAAGTTTTAAGCCGGTTTCATCCCCGTAATTACGTAGTTTAGGCCAAAAACTACTTCAATGTAAATTTGAGCCCAGTGGGATGTTGCAAACTCGTGCGGGATCCGTGCAAAGTTTTCTGGAGAAGAGTTGGCGCGACGACGACGACGACGCCCGTGCGCGCGCATCGGCCTGTGCGCGCGCGGAAACGCGAAGAAATCAATCCTGATGGAAAATCGAGAATCGATTTGTTTATGCTTGCCCAGATTGACATCTTGGTGTTCGGCGCTCAGGCGAGTTATACCTGGGAATTTCACATGCGAGATTGGAAACCCATCAAACTTTATCTCGGATCTATCGCCCGTATTGAAAGTGCTCGAGCTATACTTCATAGGAGGCGCGGCCTACACGGCGCGGCAGCTAGCTACTATTCATGCATTGCTTCGCTGCCAAGAAACATAGCTGCCACCGCCGGCGGGCTCTTGCTGCGCGTGGGCGCTCTCGAAAAAACAATCGGCCACCCCGTCACATAAGTTTCACCCCATTACCACAGACAGATCTGCTCATTTGGCCGTGTGCTCGCGAATAGCTGCGAGCTCACGGCTATCAAGGTGTCGCCGCTCTGCAGGGGCCATGAATAATTTTAACGAGATTTTTATCGCCCTCGACTACCCAGCAACTCCGCGCGCCGAGAGTGCAACAAAAATTTATAACGCTCGTTAAGGCTCACGAGAGCCCGAAGAGAGAGAGAGAGAGAGAGAGAGAGAGAGAGAGAGAGAGAGAGAGAGAGAGAGAGAGAGAGAGAGAGAGAGAGAGAGAGATAGAGAGAAGTTTCGCCAAGAGAGTGCAGGCGGAGGGAAGCAGAGGAAGTTTCGCCCTTAATTGCTCGGCTCCTTAGCAGCCTGCGCGCCAAAGTTGCGCGGCCGCGCCATGCCACCGGCCGTTGAGCAATTTCACGCGTGATCATCGCTATACCGAGTGTTAATTGTTTTCGACACTACGCGAGACGTGCGCCGAAGATTTATTTATCGGTGCCAGCGATGATCTACGGCACTGTCCACTTTCGCTTGATTGAAACTCCAATTTTTGCGGTCTTTGTTTTGACGTGCTGAAAAACGCTTCCTCGTTTCGGCGTATCTACGGTTCTCGCTTTCACGGCTCGATTAGGCAATTCAAGTCTGTTCAAATTTTCAATGATTAATTATGGATTAAGAAAAACACTCATTACCATTTGTTTGCATAGATAACGGGCGGAACGCAACGGAAAATACATCGCAAGTTTAGAAATCAGCGCGGATGTGGGCGAAGGTTAGAGAGAGAAAGAGATAGAGAAAGGAAAAAAGGAAATCAGCCACATCATGCAAAGTTCAATCAGGGAAAAGAAGTGTCCGATAAGTCCGCGCGATCCCAGCGGAACGGTGGCGGCATCCCTGTCATCGATAAAAGTTCAAAGTGAGCGCTATAGGAAAGTACAGCGGCAGAAAAGGAAGGAACGGAACGTCGAAGTTTGATCGCTCTGCAAAAGTTCGATGCTCAAGTTCCGCGATGTAGTCATAATTTATACATTCAACTGAACTATCGCTTTACAAAGTCTTAAGAGCAGCCTCGCTCGGGCGTTCGCTCACGGAATAACAGTTAACGGATTAGTGTGCTGCGCCCGCGCGCGTGAAAAATGAACTCGAGTGCAAGAGTCCATTCTCTCTCTCTCTCTCTCTCTCTTCTACCCCTCTCTCTTACTTCGATACTTTAACAAACTAACAGCCATAAGTCGCTGAAAGCGAGCCGATATGCTGAGCTCGTTTGCGAGTTCATGCCAGCGAAAGATCAATCCTTTAGGGAGCTTACAACTTTCGCGTTGCGGCTATAATCGACTTTTATTTATTTATTTGATCTGAGAGAGCACAGAGATTCACGGCAATGAAACGACTGTGTAGCACTCTATTGGCCAATGTTTTCTTTCAGATTGTCATTTCGCTTAATAATACAACATACGAAAGATTTTGAATAATGTCGAGGTGTTATAATAGAGTCAATCTTGAAACTGTGCATGTTCGGGAAAGTTTCATAACTGTCATAATAGAGAATGAGAATATTTTATTATCTCAATTCAATTTTATGCCGAAACTCTGGTTCGCTCAATCTCAGCTATCGCTGCCATTACTTTCACGAATAAGTAAGATCGATAAACCATATTAAAAAAAAATCGTATATCTTAATTAAATTTATCGTTGATATCTGATTTTTTAAACCGACACGAAACTTGATTGGTGGCACGAAACAGCGATTTTCAAAGTATAACCAGAATCGTGATAAAAAAGAAACTAATTATATGTATCAGAAGGAGATTGTCTACACGTGTAAATCAAATAGTTGCAAATTTATCCTATTAGTATGCATTGGGTAGTTGTGTAAGAGGTGTATATATAAACGAGATTGATCTGATTGAGTTGTAGTACAGAGCCTTGATTAAAAGGTTCTTTTTAATAAAGCCTCATAAAAACTATTACGAACTTTGTTCAACGAAGCTTTTTTAATATTTTCTGTGCTTTAATTGAACGATTGAGTTCAATCTTGTGTATACTCATATAACGCGTGTAAATCAATTATATCCGGCTGAGCATATTTTATCGGCTGGCTGAATCCATTTGGAGCTGACTCTTGTCGTAACAGTAACCTATTTCTTTATCGGGGTGATGGTGGAAAAAGGCGCTGACCGAGCTATTCATAACTAAAAAGGGAGAGTCGGGCTCCAGGAAAAGTATCGAAAAATTATTAATTGGCGTCGTTGGCAATCGAGTGGATAACATTTCTTTCATGCAAAATTCACAATTTTACGTTTCCGGTTCCATTACGCCTCCATTCATATTTCAACGACGGCCAGTTTACTATTTACTCGGGACGAAGAACAAAGGCTTTTCTTGCACGATCTCGCTCCTCCTCGCAGGGCTAGCGGATGTTAACGGCCGCAGGGGCAGGACGTGTAACTTTTCCCGGCCCTCTTTCGGCTCGCTGCTGCGCTCTCCCTTCGCTTTTCGTTTTTCTTCCCCTACGCTCGCTCTTCCCTCGCCAATTCTCATGCTTCTGCCTTCTCTCTGTCTTTGCTCGCAGGTATGGCATCCGAGTGGACCCGAGGCAGTGGTTATTCTTTCTCGTCGGCAAGAACGACGGCAACCAGGAGCACCCCTCGATCCTACTGATTTGCTGTAAGTTCTAGATCTTCTTTAAGTTATTAATGCTTCAAAACCACGCCTCCGTACTATATGCCCGCCTTTACGAACTTACGTTTTTTTATAACCTCGGTGTTTTCGTACGCGGATTTTTTTTACAATGTTTGCCTTGTCAAAGACAAGGCAAACATTGTATTTCATTTGCCAACCTCAGGCTTACAAATGTTAAACGCTGATATTTAGTTTTCATCATTGACGGCTCATAGAAAGAAAAGTTTACCGTTTGATATCGCTCGCCAAATAATGTTTCGAATACAACGAACGAAATGGAATGCTTTAGCTTCTTTATTGACATCACAACGATTGATCGCTCGTCGGCACTTTACAGTTGCCGGCGCTTTATATTAAGTAAACGCGCGAAAATGAGAAACGGCTCAGTTCCATTCCGTGTTTCAGAGTAGGAAATTGCAGCGAAGATGCGCTTACTTACGTTTTGAAAAATCACCGGGAGAGCTTTCAACAGCTGCAAACAAAGTAGCTGGATCGCGGCTCGGTGCCGCTGCTTCTCCGCCGGGACGAAAAATCGCGTGTTTAAATATTCTCTCTCTGCGAGAGAGTTGAGCTCACACGAGGAAGATGGCTGATAGCCGTTGAAAAGGCAATTTTTCGTAGCTTAATTGCCGTCAAATTTTTTTTTTTTTTTGACAACCGGAGCACAAAGCGCAGCACTTAGGGTCGGCAAAGTCACCCAGCGCGCATGGAGCAGAGTAAGTGCCGGACTTTGCGGAGTGGTCGCGGAATAAGAATGTGTCCGGAATGCTCCGGATTTCTCTCCCACGGGTTACCGGTGGGCGAGGATGCAGCTGAATACATTTTCTCGCGGGCCCGCACGCCCTCAAAATGTGAGCGCGCAACCGAGAAAGTAACCTCAGAAGTTCTTCCGACGCATTAATCTTCGCACGTGCAATACGGCAAAACATCTGACGATGACGCTCTACCGATTTTATTCGTCTGCTCTCGTAACTGCAACCAATGTGTATCGCGCTATTTATCGCTATGCTCGTGTATTTCCGAGAGAACAAGTCTATATTACAACAGCTGTCACGCGGCTTTTCCGTATGAATCTTGTAGGAGCAGCGCGGGCCAATTTCCGTGTGGCATTAAATATGTATCAATTTTCGCTTGTAGTTAGATCGATCTACTCTCGGGGGCGTGTAGCCATCGGTATCGATTGTTCCTTTCGGCGAAAAGGAAACGGGGCTGAATAGAAAAACGGAGAGCGAGAGAGAGAGAGAGAGAGAGAGAGAGAGAGAGAGAGAGAGAGAGAGAGAGAGAGAGAGAGCTGTGATTGAAAATCGAAACTCGATTAAGACGAATCCTAGCTTTCATGGAGCTTTTGAAAAAACTTAAATGAGTACTCGTCTCTCTCTCTCTCTCTTGGACGTAAGTGGATGTCAAGTACAATCTACGGCTTGAAAGAGTTGACGGGCGCACGACGTCTATAATTTACAACCAATCCTGACGCCAGTTAGGAAAAGTTCTTTTCTGCGATCGAATTGAAAAATTTAAAATACGAGTCTGCGGAGTAGGAAAAAACCTCAACTGAGAACGAGTGAGAGAGGGAGAGAGAGAATCGATCGTTTTATCCGTTGCAATGCAAAGGATGTCGCCCTCGTACTGTTCTCGAAAAGTCGAACATGCATTTCTCTTGAAATTAAAAAAAAAACACCTAGCTGATACGTGAAAGAGCAGACATTAAAATTTCAAAGCTTCTCGCGGAGTCGCTGAAGTGCGAGTAGAAAAGAACATAGTGCGGAAATGAAAAGGCGGGAGAAAGCTCGGTTTTTTCGCAGATATACTAGTCGCGCGAGCATCGGGATTTATCATGGGCGCTTCATGAAAATCGAAATGCACCTTCGAAACTAAATCCTCTTCTTGTCACTCTTTCCCCTTCTTTTATTCCGACTGCGAGTGCACGTCGCCGAGAGATAAAAACCGGCTTGATTCCGGCCCATTCTTCTGCCGATTTTTGTCGAATCTCGCGCGCGCCACACTCGCGAAATATACAAACTGGAGCGAGCTAGAAAGAAAGCAAGAACAACTTGAACAGCGATAGGCAAGGGGAGGGGGAGGAGCTGGTAGAGGAGTAGCTCGTAAACAATGCCCCCAGCAAAAAAACTCGCTCCCCGCGGCAGCAGCACAATATTCTCGCGCTCATTTCGTAATATCACGGCAACAAAAGGGGGAAGAAAACAGCCACGCGAGCAACAAAACTCGAAGCGACCAACTAAGGAGCTGCATTATTTACGCATATAAGGCTTGCTTCTATTGCTGCCGCTGCCGCCCGCTGCTAATAGTCCTCTCTGTCTCTCTCTCTCAGCTTCCTTTTTCTTCTCATATTTCCGCATCTTTCATGCGGCTGCAGCTTTTTTCTACTTCTGATATGAGAACGGAGCGCGTGCGCGAGTTTGTTTTTCGGGCTTGAGCCGTGCCTCGCTAAGGGATGATCATTCATTCGCAGAGGCGAAGATGATATTGGTGGGATCGAGGCCAATTTATTATGTCCGCAGTCGAGGCGTTGCTTCGTTAGCCTCGGCGACCAGTCGATCGCCCGAACTCTTGCCAATTTCGCGACTTCTGCCGTTGCGACTGAGCACATTAGGGAACTGCTTCTTAAGTTATTAAACCGACGCCTGGAATACGAGATTGATCAAGTGGGTGCTGCCGCTTTGACGAGCCACACTCGCTCTTCTCCAAATTACACCGCAACTTTTACTTCTACTGCACAAATAACTCAGCTTTCGACGATGAAAACTGCAAAATGTAACATTGACGCTCGCTCCAATTTACGAAAGATCATTTGTTCGAGCGTAAATAACACAATTGCAGTTTCAATTTTAAAGACCGCAGATGTTCATCATTCGTGAAACGTTGAATAAGCAAAAACTCTCTTCTTCGAACGATGCGTAGGTTTCGGAGCAAACTATTAACTACTAGATAAAAGCTCCGTCAATTTTGCAGCAGATCAGGCCGGCGGCAAACAAGAAAACCCAGTCGAAGACTGCGGCTCTGCACTGCATTTTTCAAACGGAGTGGGCAAAAAGCGGAAAAAAAGAGAGAGAGAGGTGAAAATGGGGACAGCAAAGAAATTGAATAAAAAATAAAGCCAGGAATAGAGGTGTAATAAAAGGGAGCTCGAGAAGCGATGCGCGCACACGCGCGTAAGCGCAACAGAAGCAACAAGAGCGCGAGTATTTCGGGCGGCCGCGCGTTAATTTCGCACTTTACGACGGGAGCTGTAGGGGCGTTTACGCTGTTCGCGCGCGTCCTGGCACCCCTCGACTTTTTAGCGTTTTGTTCGTGGGCGGAATTCACGAGTAAGAGAGAGAGAGAGAGATGCGCGACTATTGGCCGTCAAGCCAGCGAGGAAACAAAAGTTTGGCCCGCACCAACTTAAGTCGGATCTTTTAACGAGTTAAGAGTTAAAGACGCTCCGGTGATGGCTACGTACGCTGTACCCTCTCGTTAAGAGCGAAATAATGCGGCGCCCACTGCGCTGACCGGTGACTTTGTTTCGAGTTTCGAGCCTTGCGGTTTGCTTCGGCCGTTGGGTGGCCCTCGTCAAGTTTGCTCGCGGACGAAACTCTTCTATTTCGTGAGCTTGTTCTTGCTTTACGAGTTCTTTGCCCACACACAAACGGCCGATACTGATATCGTTCGGTAGTAAGCGATTCTCACAAAATTAACGTTAATCTGCTCAGATATTTCATAATTGATGGTAATTTTGAAAAAGTATTCAGTGTGTTTGAAAATGAATAAATTATACCCGGCACAAGAACGCACACATATGTCCACGCACATTATTAATTCATTCGCAAGCGCATTGTCGTGATGGAACCTCACTAATTCCGGTTAATTATAGTCGAAATTAATCATCGTATAATCATCGAATTTTACTAGAAATCGCAATGGCACAGACTAATTCTGTATAGTTAGTTAACACCGTTTAGTAATTGAGAATAGGACTCGTAATATAAGCCTATTCTCGTCTAAATCTTCAATTAACATCAGAGAACACATATTTTTCAATACAAAATTTGTCGTGGATAACCCTATAGTGTCGTTGTTTTTTCATCGAGCGTAACGATGATACATCGTGAAAATCAGCGGCAGATTAAATAATTCATTCGGTCTTGGAGTCGAAACGATTATTAAGTAAAAGCGAGACTATGCTGCGCGTGAAACATCGTCGCGATAATTTAGCGCCTAGAATTTCTAATTTCCTTAATTACCAAAGTTGAAAAGCACGCTCCGCCCCCTCCCCCTGCTTCAGCTCACTCGCTGGCGCTCCCCCCCTCCCTCTCTCTCTCTCTCTCAATTCCTGTAATGCATTTGGAAATGTATATGCGCCTAGGGAGGGAAGCAGTTGTTTCGCGCACGAGCGTATCGCGAATGAATTACACTCGGCAGGCGAAATAATCAAATTTAAAGCAAGCGCTCCGCGCAAAATCATCCGCTTCGCGATGCACGAGCTGATCCTAATTCGGCGAGTATGCAAAATTAGTTGCACAATGACATTTGGCCCCTCTGTCTTCTGCCGCTTCCCCACACTTTAGCCCGAACTACACTGCAACTATTTCCAGCTATAACTCTTACGCGTAACCTGCAAAAAAATTCTTAATTTCCGTATTATGGCTGAATGTGGACTCGCTACTGCTGCTGCTACAGCTTGTACGTGCGCTGAAATGCAACAGCTTTTTCACGCAATAAATCTTTGCTGGAACATTTTACTAAGTTTACGTTAAATTTCGTCTTTTAGAAGAGCTCTTTTGCTCCCAGCTTGTGGCTTTTGCACAATATTTTATTGTTAGTCTCGCGTCGTATTATTCGTCCCTTATTCTGTTTATTCGAAAGTCGAAGTATTAATTTTTCGTCTAATAATAATATTAAAACTCTTACAGCAACTTACTCTCTTTTCAAGTAACTTATTAAAAGAGAGATTAAGTACGCAATCTCTTGTAAGAACCCGAGGAGGTTTTTTAATTAGTGTTCTTAATCAACCGTAATAAGCAACATAAAATTACGAGCCTAAAGTTTTTATTCTGCACAAAGAACTATTTTTAGCTTATTACAATAATGCAGTAAGGTAAAAGCTCCCGGCAACAACTTTGCAACCGAGCCAAGATCTTTTTCATTACACTGCGTGTTTTTCAAGAGTTTTTTCAAGTAATAACTTGATCAGAATTATAGCCGCTAGCAGTACTGCAAAATAAATACTTTTTCAACACAATAAATACTCATCGCACGTATACTTTTGATCGCCAGTCCTCGCGAAATTCCAGTTGGCCGCGCGTATGCTTTAAAGATTCGCAGCGCGCTTTTAAGTTGATACTCAACAGCAATTTTTTTGTTCCCGGCAAATCGAGCTTTTCATGACGCGTTCGTTTCTATTAGCCCGCCTTCAGCCTCTTTTTCTTTTATGCCCAGACCGAACTCCGCACGTTTTTATTTTCTTTGACGATTTCTCTCTCTCTCTCTCTCTCTCTCTCTCTTTCTCTCTCGCTGTCTCCTTTGTGTCGGTACTCGTGAAATGAAATCGGTGAGAGCACTCAGCGTTCGGCAGCTTTTTTTTAGTAAGGCTTATTGTTAAAGAAACGAGCCATGTTTTAGTAGATATGTAGCGCTTGCCTTCCTTTTTTTCATTCAATTTGATCATCCTGTTGATTTGATAGCTGGAAAGTGCTGTTTCGTGAAACACGTTAAAGTTGTCAATGGCGAAAGCATTTTCACCGAAAAAGCTTATGCTTTCCAAGTTGGAGAATTTCTGATAACAAATATATACATATATAGTATTTTTATCAGAGTAGGATTCGTTAAATTACAAGCTTGACAGCATTGTATCCGATGACATTTCTCGCTCATTTCAATCGTTCAGGTGGAATGATAAGTATCAGTAGTCCGACAGCAATTAATGAAGCAATATTCTACGCACTGTTTTATCGCTTGCAGAAATTTTCGCGCGATTCAATTTCAATTATGCAATGAAAAGAATGGCTTTTTCTTATGTCGCAGGACGCAAATAACAGCCCTGCGCCGAGTGATACTTCCGAAGCAACGCGTAATTGTTAATTGGATGATTCTTGCGAGAGAGCGAGAGGGTAAGAGGAAAAAGTGGGTTGCGTGTCGGGACAAAAGCAGCCTCGGCTTGTTCTTTTTTTCCTCGCTGGCTGCGGCTCCGTTGTCCTAGCGCAAAGTAGCTGAACAGTCCTTCAAAGCTGCAAATCCCGAGGCACTTTGCGTGCCTTTTTTTTTCGTCTCATCGCTCTCCCCTCCCGTAGAGTGGCCATATCTATGCGATGCGACGCCGACTGGCAAGTGCTGGAGCGACGCCACAAGCTCTCTTTGTCGATTCAATTAACGCGCTACTGCCGCACAGCTCTATTGGCATTGTAATGAATAGCGCGGAGGCGTATGAATTTCAATTGGGATCGGTCCCTGCCAACGCGATGCCAGCCGATTCTCAGGTGGATTACACGGTAAATATCGCCGAGCAGATGTGTATCTCACGGATAAATTTGGTTACAACGGAAATATCGTATACGGAGAAACGCCAGCATAACGTTATCTACCTAATGTTAGTAGTAAAAGCCGATTTTGGTCGGACGTCCCTCAAAATCAGCAGTGTCAGCCCATTCGAATACGAAATCCATTTAAAGCGCAGTGGCACGCTTAGCTTGGAACATTATTGAATTATGTAAACGTTTATTTTCAGATTCCACTGTGCCGATAAGCTTGTGCCTGCTGATCGAGAAAGGCCTGGCGATGGTAAGCAGCGTATTCACTAAAAAGATATTTTTCGTCGCCGATGAGCCTCGTACGCTGTCGATCATGTCAGAGATATCTCCAGTGGACAGTGACATGCACACATCTCGACGCGTGCCAAGAAAAATCACGTATCGAGCCTCCGATGCGTAATCGATCATCGAGAAAAGCGATACCTACCGCCTGACCTCTTTTGGCCGAATATGAAGGATGTATCAGCTTGGTTGTGCGCGAGCGCGAGAGAGGAATGGAGCATTGACACGTGAATTAACGGGGTACTCACCGCCGTGCAAATTCTATGTGGTTCGCACCGCAAGCAGTTGACTGCGCGTGCGTGTGTGCATCTGCACTCGGGCAGATGCACACACGCACGGCGATGCACCTCGGCCGAACGCATATAAATACGAGCGACTCTCCGTCGGCGATCGATTGGCGCGACCACTCTCTCTCTCTTGCGCGCGCGCGACAAATGGAAATCCGTCTTCCTTGAAGCGACTAGACTCTCGCCGTTAGCTTCGCGCTCTTGCGCTGTCTCTCTGCCGACAATAAAACTGAATTGCCAGCAGCGCTTTTACGAGCGCCAACTTCCGAAGTGCATGCGATCTCGCTATCGCGTCCGCGCGCCCACGCCCGCGTCGGCAATTAATGTCGCGAGCCGGCTCGACCCAAGTGTGCCTCGTTTAGCCTTGTTGCTCTGCCAATTTCAGCCAGACAGTTTGCGTTTCGATTATTAATTTTAATGGGCCCTAAAATACTCTCTCTCTCTCTTTCTCTCGTTCTCGCTCCGCCTTGCCATGCCGGCAGATATATATATATATCCGTCGACCCAAATCGAGTTTAGATATAATTAATTAACTTTCATTATCGCAGCGAGGAAATTGACGAAATTTCTGGAAATTCGATACTCGTTGTAGTTTCATCTCGGCGCTGGCGATTAATCTTGTGCTAGAGGAAAAATAAGCTGCCACGTTCAAAGCTTGCTTCAATATGATTGCCAAATATAGTCGGCGATCATTCAACTCGATCAATGCCGCGGCACATTCTCTCTAAGGACGATCTCGAGCCTGCCACGTCGAATGTTATTTCGTTAGACCGCGAAACAAGGTCGAGTCAAAGTATCCGTAGGTATATTTCCGGTTGGCCGGTTGGTAAAGAGGCCTGCGGAGAAGGAGTTAGCAGGGACGCCGAGCCTTCCGTAGAGTGTCATCGGGGCCGCGAGCAAGTAAGAGATCTCCAGGTTGAAGTGATTGGTTCGAGCAGGCGAGGCTGCCTGTCTGCCGCTGAAAGCCGAAAGCTCAGTCGCGCGAGAGTTGCGTGCCGCGCACGGAAGAATGTTCGGAATTGTTTGGTTTCCATTGTGCGCGCGGGATTGCCGGGCTGCCTTGAGCCGCGTCGAAAGCTGCCGAGCGCTCATTTAATTGAAGAAAGTTGCCGATGACCGACTTCCCACTCGGGTGCTCTTCTGTTGCAGGACCTGATAGCTCACGGACCGGGCATGGTATTCCACGTAGTTAACCTGATAGTGATGGTGCTCATGCCGATGGTGGTAATCCATGTGAAGGAGTCGGGATTCAGCTTGGGTAAGTATAATTCTTGCGTGAAAGCTTCGCGTTTGAGCAGATACATATGAGCGTTTTCCGTGTGCAGTAGCAGAGCTGCTCTCCGGTCCGAAAGTGCACTCCATTCTTTTATAATTCCTTTCGTGCGGTGAGCGCTCGAGGCGAGCCATAGCCGTTCGTCAAAACAAACATTGACAGTAGTAGTATAGCAATGTATGTTCCAGCACACCTGCGGGGGGTCTCCGGTGTGCTGGAACATACGTATGTTCCAGCACACCTGCGGGGGGTCCGTAACCCTTTGACCCCACCGGGCTTAACCCTTTGGACCCCCTGGCTATGTTAATAATAATTATTATTGTTAACAATTATTATTAACAATATTCGTGGGGGGTCCCTTGGTTTAACCCTTTGATTCCCTGGCCTCTATCCCTTCTATGTTAATTATTATTATTATTATTAATGTTAATAATTATTTATAATTTTTGAGGAAGGTTACTAGGGCTCCTAGTCCCTAGGGACCCTATACCTAGAGCTTTTAGTCTAATTAAATTTAAATGTTTTTTTTTTTTTTTTAAAAAGTTATAAATATATATTATTGACAATTTACATGCTACATTGAGAATGAAACGAATAGAAAATAGCGAAGATTTTTTGAAAAAAATGAAGAGACAGACCGGAGAATCGAACCGGAGTCCTCTGGGTTGGCAGGCTAGCGTTCTACCACTAGAGCCAATGCCACATGTACCTTAGAGGATGCATATTGTGTATATTAGCTACACACGCATACATTTGGTATAGGGCCCGAGCGTGCGGAGGAGGAGGAGGGGAGCGCATGCTGTCTATAGTTCTGGCCTGATGGGGGTGCGCTACTATAGCAGTTTTAAATGTATGCTCTCTCTCTCTCTAGCTCTGACTCAGCGTGGTCCACAGTGCGAGGAGGAGGGGAGCGCATGATCAGCTATGCTTATTAACTACCCTATTATCTTAAGTTAATTATGTCTATCATAAATGTAGATCATAGTTGGTTTGAGGGTGATCAAGCTTCTCTACTACTTTCAGAAAGAGAGAGCATCTATGCTTACTACGTTCCCTCTTATCTTATGTTACCTATGACTATCGCAAATGTAGATCATAGACGGTTTAAGGATGGTCAAGCAAAACTCATAGCGCGGACGCGTGACCTACGTTTAATGTGTTTTTTGCGGATGACCATAAAGTCAGCGGGACGTCAAGATTTATAGTTTTTAGAAAGTGACAAACTTTCTAGCTTACATGGGGTGGGAAAGGGTACACTAAACGTCCTATCTCACTCAAAGAATGTCTACGTTTGTGTGTAGCTTACATATATTGAAGAAAATTCGTACCTGATAATAGTGTGAGTGTTCGGTAGGATTTTCGTTGGTCAGTCTTAAAGGAAACTTCGAGCGGTTCACAGTGTAGTGCTAATTGTTTATTATTATTTAAACATTAGTAAGTTTTATATTTTTTTAAAGTTAATTAATAAAAATAAAACAACAACAACAATGGAAAGTATCACCAAAGCGTGTGAGTTTTTAGAAACTGTAAGTATAATTTTAAATAATTTAAAAATAATTAAAATAACTTTTATAATTTTTTAATAATATTATTATTCAATTTCAGCTTACCACTTCAGATTACCAGCTTCCGACCATGCAGAATGTCGGAAAAGAGCCGTTATATCGGCTCTTAATTTTATTATTAATTACCGTAAGTATTTTTTCTCATATATTTATTTATTTATTTATTTATTATCATTTATTTTCAGTTGCAGCGATTTGTGGAGGAGAACAGTCCTCAAGCACTGCAAATTCAACAAATAAAGGCGATTGTCCAACAAGTATGTATTATTATAATATTATATCAATTTATATTTTTTATTAATATTTAATTGTCTTTTCTCTTTTTCAGTGGATCAAGGAATCTATAGCGGCCAGAATGATGGCGCATCAAGTCGCCTATCAAATTGACAAAATTGTCAATGATCGCGTCAACGCCAAACTAGAACAACATAAGCGTGCGGACGCTATGCGGAGGCAGCAAGAATCCGCTCGATTGGAGCGGAAACGGAAAGCCGCCTTAGCTAAAGCGCAGCAAGACGAACTTGCTGCGAAAGTTAAGCGACGGCTTTCCAGCATTGCTGCACCATCAACAACAGCCATGGTGAATGAAGGTAATGGATCATCTTCGAGGCTGTCAACGACATCTACATCGATGACATTATCATCGTCATCATCAGGAACGTCGAGGACAACATCACCAGCGACGTCAACAGCAACGTCGAGGAGAACATCACCAGCGACGTCAACAACAACCTCTTCGACAGCAACATCCGCAGGCTGTCAAAGAGGAGATAATACTCAAATTGATAAACCACTCGATTTGACCGCTAATGTAAGTAATTAAGTTATACAATGAATTAATAAATTTAAAATTAAAAATAATAATTAAAAAATTTGTTTACAGAAAAAAATTCCGGTGGTAAAAAACGTTGAGTGTGTTCGACGTAAAGTTATTTTGATTCCTGCACAACCAACCATCAGGAAGCCGACTCGCCCCTCTAAGGTCGTCGGGTCCAAAAAAATTAAATAGTAATATTAAAAAGAAAAAAATTGTATTTTTATAAAAAATAATGTATTTTATAAAAAAAAATAATAAATTAAACTAAAATAAAAAATTAATAATGTTTTAATTTACTTAGGATCTACCAGTGCCCCCACCCCCATTCACCTATTCCATCCACCTACCTACTCTCACCCACTCACCCACCAATATTCATATACATAGGTTGGTAAGGTAGGATGCTGTAGAAGTTGGTAGGGTATTTAGTAAGCTGTATGATGGTCTCTCTCCTTCTATAGTAGGGAGCATAGTAAGCTTATGCTGGCTAAGTTTGGGCCCTCGGAGAGGGGGTAGCGTCTCTAGCTTGCTAGGTGCGTACGCCGTTTAGTGTGGATGCTATTCTCTTTCTCTCTCTCTCTCTAGGATTATAGGTAGTTTGTATTAAATTCTAACAATATATAGTGTATATGTATATAATTTTATTTTTTTTATTGAAAAGCATTGTGTACATTGATTACATAATGTCTTGTTAATTTCAAACTAATTTTTTAACATCACCACTAATCGGGTTATATTGTACAATACGATCGTGTAATATTAAGCAGTAGGCTGCAGTATCTTCAGGAAAATCAGTCCGAGTTTCAAATTCTAGGCGAACATCGACTGGAGCGCTTTTTAATGTTTCATTTTGTTTGGAGCAGTCTATAACTATTAACGGCACTTTATTAATGAAATCCTTTTTATTGAGTAACGGCTCGTTTTCTTTACCATAATAAGCGTTTTGAAAATTAGTATACATATCGTAGAGAACAGCAAACTGATTTTGATTGATATTTAAATTGAGATTTCCATACGGATAGCATTGTGAATTGAGGAATAGCTTCACATTACTAATATTACAATGATCAAAATTACTAGAATTAACACTTGCTGAACTTTTACGTTTAGTTTGAAAAGCTAAAATAACAAAGCGAGGCTTTTCCAATTGATTGGAAGTCTTAACACTCCAAACATGCTTTGATGTACGAGGTAATTTTGGATACTCATACATTTCCCAAGTACGATAACTCATAGTAATTGCACGATCTCGTCCAATCTGATTGAGTAATTTGATTTTTTCTTTGTCTGCAACCATCACATATGGCATCAACCATTCAACCTTAGTTAAAGTAATTTTTGTTTTTTCTGAAGCAGCAGGATTCCCTATTGGAGCAGACAAAATAGCATTTAAATCATCTCTTGATCTTGTGAGAATAAGTTCATGCTTGACATTGACTACAATTTTCCGATAATCTTCAGCAAAGCCCAGTAACATACTGAGAGGGATAGTCACATCAAAAAAACCTTGAGCGTTACATATTAAAACTTCGTTGTTATCACCATTCCATCCAGCATTTTCAGCGATAGAGCTTTGACATGGATTGAGTGAAAGCCAATTTTTCATGAGGCTCGTTAAGCCTACATTTTTCACTTTATCAATTTCAATAGCATTTATTTCATATCGTATTTCCTCGAACAAATGACAGAGGGCATTGTTGACTAATAAAGTGTTCTCCACTGGAGTGGTACCGTCCGGCTTGGTCAACCTACCACAAATATGAATCATACTGCGCGATGGAAGCAGAGATAAATCTTGATGTTGAATTGCTATATGAATTTCATCACTATTATTGAAATATGATAATGAATAAGGCTGATGCGCATGAACTTCATAATGAGCTATAGACTCATCGAAAGCGACAGCTGAATGAATGTCTAGAATTCCCTCCATATTATTATTATTGTTGTTGTTGTTTTATACAACACACTAATACGCACAATATTTTCTTCCACGATTTTCGACGACTTCTAGTCTCAAGCTTTTCAGAAATTGAATGTTCTGAGGTGTGAGCGGTCTGATAGCTCGCTGTTGACTGGTTGCTGTTCGACATTTTTGTCTTTTAATATAGCCTCGGCCGCTCTTTATATTGTAAATGATACCCATTACTAAGATATGGTCTTTATATGCACTCGCACTGTGATGACTTCTCCTCGAAAGTTAACTAGGTTTCCGTCTTGATCAACTATACGAATTTGAAAATGATCAATGCTCCTCACAGTGACTGGAAGGTAAATGACGTGAGAGGGAACTTCTATAATCTTATATCCAGGTGGGACTGCTGGGAAAAATTCATGTATAGTATGTACTTTGCGATCGTTTATGTAAGAGCCTGTAGTAATATTACACTCTACACGTAAAGCATTGACTTTGAGTATAGTGACGGGTAAGTCAGAACTATGTGTTTCGTTTTCAAGGAGGTCGTTTTCAACGAGCGTGCGTTTAGTGAAGCCTAAAATTGATCCAATAGAATCTTCTGGTTCAAAATGTATTTTTTGACTGCACCGAATGACACTACGTAAAGTATTATTATTTGGTTTTAGGCTAAACGATATACCTTTAG